TGGAAGATGTGCTTTTTCTTTTGTCATTACATTATTTTCTATGGCTTTTTGTCACAAAATTACATTATGTTTCATTGCCCAGCATAGCACAAGGTGACAGAGCTGAGAGATGCTCTAAGTGTCACAGCACAGTGGTCCATGTCAGAGGAATGACCAGTCGGAAATAGAATCATAGAATGGTTTGGATTGGAAAGGATCTTATAGATCATCTGGTTCCAAGCCCTCTGCCACAGGCAGGGACACCTTCCACTAGACCAGGTTGCTCAAAGCCCCATCCAACCTGGCCTTGAACACTTCCAGGGAGGGGGCAGCCACAACTTCTCTGGGCAACCTGTTCCAGTGCCTCACCACCCTCATTGTAAAGAAATAAAGAAATAGGGCGTGAGACATCAGGAAAAGGAGAGGTCCTTGAAAGATGGGAGAAGCCAATTTTGGCAGAGGCTCACTATATTGAAGCTAGGTATTTTGATTCCTTTTTCCTTCAGGACTTTCATACTAAATGTCATAAATCTTTCGATTTTCAATTCCAGTCTGTGTTACAGTTCTGTATTGCTGCAGGAGGACTGACTGGGAAGGAAGATGCTGTTGATGAGCTCAGCGGGATTTATTCTGTTCTTGCTCTCCCATTGCACTGTGTCAGTGAGCACCAAAGAGGCGATGGGCTTGGCTAATGCTCACCTTCTCCCCCAAAGAGGCTATGAGAAACTGGGTAACAACAATGAAAAAGGTATTCATGAAGAGAGTGAGTGATTTGGATGCATGCTCTGTTTTAGGTTGTTGCTTGGCTGTAACATTTTCAGCCGGAAGGCAATCATTCACTCATTCTAAAGGACAGAGCTCAATATCTGTAATTTACTATTTGAACAGAAATTTACTTTAAAACTTTTTTCCTACTCAGATTATCCAAGGGATTGTTTTGAGATTTTTCAGCACTCCAAAGGAAATTCCAGAGATGGTCTTTACATCATCCAACCAGAGGAGGACCCAATTGTTGTCTCTTGTAACATGCAGGATGGTGGCTGGACAGTAATCCAGCACATTACAGCCAATAGTACTGTCGACTTCGATAGGACCTGGCAGGACTACAAATATGGATTTGGCTCCACTCATGAGAACCACTGGTTAGGAAATGAATATATGCATCAGTTAACTAGCAGCTCTGTGAACTATATACTTGAAGTTAAACTTGTAAACATAAACGCTGAAATCAAATGGGGACAGTACGAACCATTCGTTATTGAAGATGAAGAGTCTCAATATCAAATCAGGGTTGGTCTATACAAAGGCAATGCCACTGATGCTCTGACTCTGGACACAGAAGCTTATCTCCATGAGAACCAGAGGTTCACTACCAAGGACAGAGACAATGACAATTACTTTCAGAATTATGCTAAACTAGAACACAATGGCGTTCCTGGCGGAGGCTGGTGGTACGACGCGTGTGCTGGAGCAAATCTAAACTGTAGGAACATGATATACTGGCAAAAGGACTGCAATAAGCAACGCATGTGCAAGTTTGCGTGGATGATGATCAAACCCATTGACCACAGCCTGTTGTATTCAGCCAAGTCCTGTCCATATCAGAAAGTTGAACTGTAGATAAGCCGCATGTACTTTGAAAGGCACATGGATTCTTTGTCCAGTGACTGAAGTGAACTCACACTGACTGAATAATCACACTAAGTAATCATGATTGAAAATTTAATTTGGGCTTCTACAAGGGCTTTATGATAGCATATCATTCAGGACTGGACCAGAACATAGACATCTACCAATGACACGAGTGAGAAGTCCCTGTCAGAAACTGAGGCCTCTACCAGAAGATTTAAATAATTTTATAGTATTTTAGCCACAGGAGGAGTCAGGTATGAAATCCAGGATGTGATGTCTTGTACAATACCTACATGAATATGCATGCATTTCAGAAGGTTTTGCTGCAGTATGAATATTCACAGTGGATCTCCTACAAATGCACATCTTCATGTATTATGCAGGAAGGAAATTGCCAGTGAAGTACCTACATTTACAAAATGCATATTGGAGAGTACTATGTACCATAGGTCAGCATCAGGCCTTTCCTTTTTACCTTTAGTGAAAGACATTTTAATATATAAAATTGGAATTAGCCACATCTCCCATGGCTTCTTTGTCCTTTCATTGACATTTCTTTTTATCTCTACTTTTTAATGATCCCCTACACAATAAAGTATTTGGCACAGGCTTTTCTTTTCTTCTGTCTTTTTAGAACACCCAGAGCTAACAGGATCATCAGCTTTCCCATTTGAAGCTACTAATCCAAAGCTTACAACTCCTCCGATTTTTTCACCAAGAAATTCAATCAGCATATTTTTTAAAAGATCAAACTGATTTTGCAGTGGTTTTACTTATTGCTCCATTTTTCTTCTGAATATTACTCCATTTCGTTTACCATGTTTTGACTGTTGCTTCTCCCTGTTCCATGATGCGCTTCAGCTTTCTCTTTTTGAAATGCCACTGTGAGAAAAGAAGAGAGTGTTGGCTCTATCTCACATTTGCTAGCTTCAATTGTTTTGGCACTCAACCTTGACATTATTTAAATAGTGCCTTTTTTTCTGATTATAAAATAGACAATCCTTAAATTTAATGATAAATTAATCTGTTTTAAAATAATAAAATCAAAGGATTTCAGTTTTGATAACCTTGAAGACTTTTTTTTCTTTTACAACTGTTTGGGTTACTTCACACATTTCTATATCATTGGAATAGCTGAATGACAACTGAAGAGTTTTCTTTGTTGCATTATACAAAATGTCAAGATAACAATTAGAATATCTTGTATGTTTTCTTAGATGTTTCAATTACAGAAATGCAACCAGCAGATACTGGCAAACTCTTGCTTTTTAATTTAAAAATAGAATCTCATAATTTCCATGTAAGTTACTTCACAGAAAATAAATTGTATTGTGTTTTGAGAAGACCAAGACTGCCAGGATTACTTAAGAAGAGAAATTAACTGGGAAGTGGAAAAGCCAAGAAAGCAATTTTTATTTTTTACAATGCACTGCAACATTTTCAGAAAGATATACAGATATGCTACGTGGACGAGGCCAATATGGCATGCATGTATATTTTGCAGCATCTAGATAAAGAACTGGCTGAATGGCCGAGCCCAGAGAGTGGTAGTAAATGGAGTTAAATCCAGCTGGCAGCTGGTCATGAGTGGTGTTGCCCAGGGCTCTGTTTTGGGTCTGGCCTTGTTTAACATCTTTATCAATTATCTGGACAAGGGTATTGAGTGCTCCCTCAGTAAGTTTGCAGATGACACCAAGTTGGGCTGGAGTGTCAATCTGCTTGAGGGTAGGAAGGCTCTGCAGAGGGATCTGGACAGGCTGGATCAATGGGCCGAGGCCAACTGTGTGAGGTTCAACAAGGCCAAATGCCGGGTCCTGCACTTCAGTCACAACCCCACGCAATGCCACAGGCTTGAGGAAGAGTGGCTGGAAAGCTGCCCAGTGGAAAAGGATCTTGGGATGTTGATTGACAGCCGGCTGAGTATGAGGCAGCAGTGTGCCCAGGTGACTGAGAAGGCCAATGGAATCCTAGCTTGTATCAGAAATAGTGTGGCCAGCAGGAGTAGGGAGGCGATCGTGCCCCTGTACTCGGCACTGGTGAGGCTGCACCTGGAGTACTGTGTTCAGTTTTGGGCCCCTCACTACAGGAAGGACATTGAGGTGCTGGCGCGTGTCCAGAGAAGGGCAACGAGGCTGGTGTGGGGTCTAGAGAACAAGTCTTATAAGGAGCAGCTGAGGGAGCTGAGGCTGTTTAGTCTGGAGAAGAGGAGGCTGAGGGGGGACCTTCTTGCTCTCTACAACTACCTGAAAGGAGGTTGTAGTAGGATGGGTGTTGGTCTCTTCTCCCAGGTAACTAGCGATAGGATGAGAGGCAGTGGCCTCAAGTTGCGTCAGGGGAGGTTTAGATTGGATATTAGGAAAAATTTCTTTACTGAAAGAGTGGTCAGACATTGGCATAGGCTGCCCAGGAAGGTGGTTGAGTCAGCATCCCTGGAGGTGTTTAAAAAAAGTGTAGATATGGCACTTCGGGACATGGTTTAGCAGGCATGGTGGTGTTGGGTGGATGGTTGTACTTGATGATCTTAGAGGTCTTTTCCAACCTATGATTCTATGATCTGATTTTTTTCCCCCCCTGAAATTGTGTTCAAAGACAAAAGTGTGATAGGGGAAGAAGTGGACAGTAGCTGAACTGAGTTTATGTCACTGAGTCAGTTTAATGTGGGTGCTGCTGTAACTCTATCAGGACGCTTCCAATGTTGCAAAGAGGATACAAGAAAATCACCCAAGTACTGCCAGTCTCCCATAACTTTTATCTGAATTCCTGGCCGTATAGTCAGATTCTCACATACCTTCCAAAAATGTGTTTTTAATAATCTTGACACGGAAGCGCACAACTGAAAGCCAGCAAGCTGCGTCTAATCCTCAAAGGCAAGTAACCTGCTCTGCAGCCCACCCTTGGCCTGCTTTGGAGGGTTCTGGAGGAAAGGACTGTGCAAATACACTGTGTGAATGACTTGGGCACCAGCAGCCCAAACCCAGCTGCCCAGTTTCGGAGACACTCTTCAGTATTAACTGGAGCCCTACAAATCTATACTGACACTGAATTCCAGTATGAATTAAATGTAGATTAAAATGTAATAATAACTTGTAAAAATAAGTCTCCACGCAAAAACAAGACAGAAAAATTAATCCAGTTCAAAGACATTTAATGGAACTCGGGGACTGAGGTACATTCTACACTTCTAAACAAAGTATGGATGGAAATGACTACTGGAGTTGGATTTGGGACTAACTAGTGAATAAGTAAGAATATTCTGATACACCAGCACTTCTTTCTAGAGCTTTTAGAGAGAAAGACATGGAGCCTTAAAAAGTGGACTAAATTCTACTTCATAATTCCTTAGCAAAAGGCTGTCTTAACAGAACAGATTTTTTTCTCCACCACTGAACATGAATCACCAGATACCCAGAACAATGCTGAGAGCAGCCAGCCATCAACACTGAATCAGCAAAATCACACTGTGAAACATGGGGATTTCTATTCTGTCTAGTCCTATTTTCTTTTCCCTATCTCATTTCTCCTATCCTCTATCTCTCTTTGCCCATCCTGATTATACTGCCTCTTGCAAAGACTTGAAGAAAGGAAGTGGGCCTTTCCAAGAATATGTGATGGAAAAAATCTATTTGGTCAAATAAATATCTTTCCAAAACAACGAAGCGTGACAAGGTCTAGAGCAATAGCCATATGGCTGACTTTCAGCTCCAAGCATCCTGAATGGGAGGCACGTTCCACTTTAAACATGCAATCTCCTAACAACATCAGAAGAATAAGTTTCTTTACCTCTTCACTACTTTGTATTTCTCCTCATACTGTCTTCTCAACTGCAGGAAAGGTAAGCACATTCTCACATACAACATCACATTTATCAATTCAGAAATTAGCAGAAGGAAAAAATCTTCCTAAAAAAGTATCAACTAACAAAATAAGAGAGCCTGATGACCTCTTTCTAGCAAAACCACTGATTTATTATTATTTGTCTTTAAAAATCATTCAACTTTCATACAAGAAGGTGCTTGCTTTGTTGCTGATTTTCATATATATAACTTCAACAATAAATTTCCAGACTTCCACATAACCCTTTTTTACATGTTAACCACAGGTTTAAAAGTATGACAAAGTGGTTATAGGACCAAGCATTAAATACTCTGCATCAGCAAATTAGCACCATAACCTGCCTGCGCTCATTTTTCTCCTATAATTAACAAAACAAAAAGCCCTTTAGTCATGCTCACGTCTTCCACATTTCAGAAGGCATCAGGACCCAGGCAGAGTGGTGGGGTACAGAGCTGACTCCAGCCACACACCACAGCTGGTATCCTCCACCGTACTCTCTTTCCACTCCTTCTTGAGCTACCTGATGAATTGCACATCTAAGGAAGCCTTATGTATGGCATACAGTGAAAACAACTGCCTGACCTTCACTATGTCTAGATGACTGCCTCATGTAAAGAGTAAAAGATATTCCAACCGATATCTTGGCATTGTAATCCAGGAATTTAGCAAAAATCCCCAGACTTCAGAGGTCTACTGAAGCAGGAGCCATCAGTGACCAGGGTTTGGAGAAGTACTTGTTGAGAAGAAAACTTCTGAAGGATTTTAAATCTCTACTTGTTTGAGAAAGACTGACCTGTTTGATATATCAGCAGATACATGAAGAAACTAATGGCACTTAGTAGCTAATGGCATAAGTATTGTGTAAAAGCCAGTGGTTTTACTGAGTGTAATGAAAACTGAAGTTCCTAATCTGATACATAGCCCAGCAGTACCTATTAAACCTGAAGAAATACATTTATGGCAGAACTCAGAGGGTTGTCATCAGCGGCGCTGAGTCTAGTTGGAGGCTGGTAACAAGTGGTGTCCCCCAGGGGTCAGTACTGGGCCCAGTCTTGTTTAACTTCTTCATCAACGACCTGGATGAAGAGTTAGAATGTACCCTCAGCAAGTTTGCTGATGACACCAAACAGGGAGGGGTGGTGAATACACCAGAA